TTGTATTCCCTGTTTATTTTGTCCAAATGTTAAGACTTGAAAGCGAAAGTACATTGCAAAGAGCGAGTTTTACAGAGGTCTTGTCTTTATACATATTATGCTTTCAATAACAGCCTATCAGAGACCATTCACATCCAACTTGCCCTTCAATGATAAACATATATTATTTCTGCAATGATGGTTTTAACAAAAAGGACAGAATTAAGCAGGTGCATTTCTCTTTAACTATATGCACATTTTCTGTTACAATTTTTCTAAAAAAATCATCTTTTTCAAAATATTTGTTATCAAGAGATACTTTCTATCTATTAATCAATGATATATTTATTAACTGTAAACATTTTGACTTTATACCACACATAGTTTTGTAGCTATTGTAAAAATAATTTTTTAGACATGTTGACCTTTGACGAAACCTTAATATTTGGACATTTGAAAAAAAAATGATTAAAAAAACTTTCAATTTTTCTAAAGAAACTGTATATTGGAATGAGAATTTCAAACTTATTTGGTAATATTTAGAGAAAAACTACGTCGGGTGTTTTTTGATTGACTATTTTGAGACCCTGGGCTACGGACTATAGATAGAGTATTTTTCATTTAAGGAGAGACCATACAAAAAATAGTTGATTGTATAAGTAATATCTGTTGACATTATTATCTTGGAGTTTATATGTGTTTAAAAATTCCTATCAGTTGGATATTAAATCAATTTATACAAAAATCCTGTGAAAATTAACAAAAATAAACTAAAACGTAAGATAAATTCCCAATACGAGTAAAATATGAATTGTCAGAACAAAATAATTCATGTCTAAACTACATGGAATTGGTGTTTTGATAATAAAATATCGTCTTAAACCATCTAAAGACCAAGAATTAACTTTAATTTAGCATTTAAGAAGGACGAGTTTCACGAGAGTACTGGGGCTACGGACTACACCGTTAAACAGCTCTATTGTGGACAATCATCTTAAAGAAAATATAATAATATATTTAATTCTTGGGCAATTTTTTATTATTATTTTGGTTTCTACTAGTCAGTTCACACCACTTTTAGTATTAATAATATGCCATGCTTAAACATCAATTGTCTAATGTACTGTGTACTTTCAATGCCAAATGAAATTCCAGTTCAACTAATAATAGCACCATTGGCGTTCAAACAAGGTGTCGATCCTTGTGTTTTTGGATCAAATTCCATTTTTATGGGATGTTAAGACTGGTTGGTGAAAACTAATAAACCGTTGAACCACATTTTGCAGTGATACAGCAAGAAAAAATATCTTGCTGTTTAAGAAGTTTGGGTATATGGTCTGTTAATTTGCTAATTTTTTGGAAGAATTTGTAGCCCTTTTGTAAGTTGGTATTGTGAGGCCAAATTTCTTTTTGAAAAGTTCCAATGCTAATTATTATAAATCGATTAATAGTATGTAGCATAAGAAGGAAAACGTTATCAAATATATTTAGAAATATGTTGTGACCACAAACAGAACAAGACAGACTACAGAAGCAAACCTTTAGTTGAAAAAAATTCATATTTAGACACTATATTTTTAATTACACTCGATTATGTATTTAAAATCATTGTACGTGTTTGAATAAACATATAATTATATTGTAGCTATTGTATCAATAATATATCTGACTTTTTCGGATAGTTGTATTATTAGGGCTACGGACACCAATCATTCTTCTGTAACTTTTTTTAATGTTGTCGTAAAATCATTCATTACTGTTTTTATTCTTTACTGGTAACTATGAAAATATTAAACAGGAGCATTATAAATTATACATTATCCTGTTGAACACAAACTAAAATGAAATATGAGGCTACGGACTATACAAAATATTAGATCAGTATGCAAAAAAAAAATTACAAAATGTGCACACTATTTACTACATAACCAGAATATTTTTCCTAAAGAACTTTTTTTCTTAAGTAAAATAAAATTTTTAAACCCATTATATTTGCTCTTTTTCTGTTAGAAATTATGAATTTATTTAAACACTCAAAAATCTAAAATTATATAACAAAGGTAAATCTGTATACATTTATTCATAATTTCCAAATTTTTTTATCCTTTTTCTTTTCTGTAAAAAATAAACTTAACCCGAATGATTTTTCTGTAACTATTTTGGAATGGTTCATTCAAAATAATTTTAATTAACCATTTTTTAAAATGTAAAAAATCAAGTGCAACAGCATAACACTTTAAAAAGCATGAATTTGATACTTTATTCTTTTTTTTTCAAAGATGCAGGTACTATATATATAATATAATATACCAGTTGAAAGCTCTCTTCTTTGCAATGCAACCAAAGACATTTTGATTAATTGTAACTTTAAAGAGTTATGTCCATATACATGTAACATCATTTAGTGGAAATGAGCACCTGATCTTGGCCAAGCCGGTATGCATAAACTTTTTCAATGAAAGAATTCTTCATATGTAATAATAGTCATAATTTTTAATAAAAATGTGGCTGTAAGAAAGCTATTTTAACAATAAATCTCAGACAAAGATACAGACATTTTGCACAATTCAGTAGCATACTTTCCGTATTCAGACATCGTTTGGAATATTGGCAGGACGCTTTTAACTATATCGATCTTTCCTCATCCACTTTGATAATTCTGGTATTACCACTACGATTTACTCAAATGTCAGAGCAATGGTTTGTGTTCTCAGCTGCCTATCTTCTGTGGACTGTGAGAATTTTTAAATATGCTGCTGTTTTTAGGTAAGCATACTATATGAACTGAATTTTACTTCAGAGCTTCTGTCAAAAGATGTGTGTGTAGATCTATGGAATAGATTTATGCCCACCATGAATGTAAACGGACATACAGTTTTAGTGAATAAATTGGTATATTTACAGGGTCATTTACAAGTAATTTATGTGACCCTATGCACTTTTTACATGATGACATTATTAATGTGTTTTTCTTCAGACAAACGGGAGCATATGTGCAGATTTTATGGAGAATTCTTATTCACGATATTTTCCAGTTTACCACATTCTTCCTCTTCATTCTGTTGGCCTTCAGTGGTTGTCTTCTTTTGTCTCTTCGAGGGGAAGGGTCATTGGAACAGTTTCATGAGAGCAGGTAACTCATACACCCTAATTTTTCTACATTATGGTCAATTATTAGATTTTGTTTTATTGAAACGCTTACTTTAAAGACATCAGACATTATTTTTTGATAAAAGAAAATAAAAGGGCTTCAGAATAAAAAAAAATATCTTTATATAAAAACCATCATTCTACCAGGAAAAAAGAGTGTCAGATAATGTTATAGATTCGATTTTTTTATTCCTTGTTTCCTCGTATAGGAAACATTCAGCTTTATTAATCTAATATTGTTATAAATTCAACATGTTTCAGTTCCTTTTGGTCAATCCTATTTCTTGGAGCAAGGATCTTGATAGAGGCTGAGCGAATTGTAGAATATACAGAACTTCAGTAAGGGTTTTATTTAAAAAATATCTGCTGGAGTTTGTTTTCATAATTTTTTTTTCATATATCTGTTGAAATTATAAGTACATGTATATGAATGCAGATGAATGTATGATCTACCTCTTAAAAACCTTTATATTTGATTCGTCTGTAGGACTACGAGTCTTATCATTATGGCAGTATTTTTGTTTACAATCTGCGTCCTTCTACTAAACATTTTGATTGCTCAGCTCAGTGACACTTACCAAAATGTCCAACAGGACGCTCAGCGGGGGTTAGAGGTCAACAGAGCCTGGATTGTGGCCAGGGTCGAACTAAATAGTCTTCTCTTTGGAAAGGTATGAACTCTGCTTTACATATTTTCAAATATGAAAATTGAAGTTTAGGTATTCAAATGAAGACTTTTGGAAATATCGCATGTCATTTTGGACATATATGTATTTTTAAAGATATAGAGTGACGAATTTTCATTATTCAAATTACACTTATACATAAAATGTAAAATTATTCAGTAGTTTAGAAATCCTTCTCCTGCCTATTCATCTAAATAATATTCCAAAAAGATGTTAACATATATTTTAGGGTCATCGAATATCACACTACAAGGAAAGTGAAAACATTGATGATATTAAAGATGTTTTAGAAAAATGGGAAAGTCCTCCATTGAACGAAATCAACAAGTGTATTCAAAATATATCGGATGATCTCGATTCTCACAAAATGAATCTTTTGACGATTAAGAAAACAGTGGCAAGACAAGAAGCGACCTTGTCTACAATCCAGTTAGTTGATTCTAGTATCTTTTTCTTTTAATTTCTAAAACAAGTATTAAAGGAAACAATTACCCATAGATATATATTTCTTTTTTATATTATTCAAATTTCCATTTTAGAATCAGTCTGGATAAGCTTTTAGAACTGGAGGAAAGGAGACAAAGACAAACCTTGAGACGTTCATTCACTGTATAAAATACGTATACAAATTTCCAAACCCAGATTATTTATGTTATTTACTGTATGATGAAACCACTTGTTTTATCTCTTATATCGGTATTTCATTGGTGATCATTTGTGATTTCGATTCTGATTATTTCATTTTTCTTAAAATATGTTGCTATTGGTTGCTTGTCTTTTTGTCCTTTCAAGGGGATGTAAGGGATGCTCATTCCTCCGTGACAATCCAGTGTGTCAGAGATCCGTACATGTTCTGTTTCTGATATGTATTTTTTGATTTCACTTATGAGCTTCAATACTTTTCGTTATCTCCATATTTCATTCTTTTGTTGAGACGAAAGAGAAGAGATTTGTTACAATATCAATTATAATATAGGTTTTTTCCCCTAATTTTTTTCTGTCTTTTTATCAAAATTCAAATGATGGATTTGAGTTTAAAATAATGTTAACATTTATGTTTGTTGTGGGTTTCTTATCATTGTAAATTGAATTTTGTTATTTTTTAAATGTATGTTTAAATAATATATTAAATGAATGAGAGGTAAAATGGAAACCAGCTGTCCTTATGTGTTCAAAAATTCAGGAAGAATTAGATAGATTACACAATCAGTATCCACTGGTCACTACTGACAAAGCTTAATATAATTTAAATTATATTTAAGTTTGATTGTATGTTGTTTTAATTTAAGACCAATTTGAGCAAATTTCACCCATGTAGAGACGTCACCATGTATTTTTACCTTTATCCTATATGTGGCACTCGGGACCATTGAGCAGTGAGGAATCTTTAACGTGCCAACGCTTGCGATTGACATGGGACCACGGTTCTTTAGGTCCCATTCGAGGGACCCGCAACTTTTTCTTCAAGTGCCAAGTGCAATGCGAAGGAACAGTTGCTACCCATTTTATTGACCTTGTCTTACACATCTGTAACATATTTTGATATTTTACGAGATAAAGGCGTTAATGGTAATCTACATTCAGGATTTCTAATAAATGTGACAACTTTAACTTTTCAAATAGTCAACTTCCCTTACTTATGCAGAAATTAAATCTAAACTAAAGACCTACATTCTGGGTATAGATATCTCAGTTGATTCGATACAAGAAACCATCCTCTACGCAAGAACACTTTTTAAAACGAGATAAGTTATTGACAAACAAATTGATGAAGCAAGAATATCCCTAGCACCATTTATGAAGTTCTTTGATTGAATCAATGACCTTGTCACCAAATATAATCTATCGCTAATTGAAATGCTGACTGACATTTTTCCTGCTATTTGTTAGACCAATATTTATATTCTGAATTGTCGACGGATTTTACTATAATTTCCTGATCAAGACGATGAGCATACGGCGAACATGGCAATCGGTTGGGGATGCTCATCTTCATGGCACCTGATCCCACCTCAAATATGTTAATGTTTTAGGTGTCCGTGATTGCTCTGATCCAAATTTTGTATTGTGTAATGGACTTTTGACAATAATACTTTTCGTTACCTCCATGTATTCCATGTATGATAATTGATGGGATATTTTTTTTAATTAAAGATTCATTTTACTTCCGTCACTCAGATTCGACTAAAATAACGCATAAACATTAACAGAATTGTAATGATTGCAATACAGAAAATACTTTCTTTAATTTCAAATAAAGAAAAAAAGAAAATCAAAAATGTTCATAGCGACGAAAATGTAATTATTAAAATCATTTAGATGATAGAATCAATTCAGTTTCACTTCTGTTTGAAACAGTCCTCCAGAGGCCTTGTGTTCCACCAGGAACCAAAAGGAACCACGAGGATGATAATTATTCTGTTTGAAGAGTCTGCGCGCTGTAGCAAAGTCAATCATTTTTCAAAACATGCATATACGACTTCTAGATCTGTCTTTAAAATATCTTGATTGACTGTTTACCTTTTTGGATTCCATTATATTTTTAAAAATGATATTTTAAATTCCTCCCATAGAAGATTGCTTGAATATGAATACACTCAAATATAAGAAATGATTACTAATTAAACAAGCCAATTCAGAGAATTCGTGTCCCCCGCTTAGGGAAAAAGTCGGCTCCCCCTGACTGAATTTGTAGAATTATTAAATGTATACATGTATACTGAAGGAAATAAAATACATGTATGTCAATATGCATATAAAGATTTGATTGCTTATTCTTTATTATGTGTATAGAAGATTTTTTTATATGGAATATTTATCACACTGTAATGATGATTTTATAACCTCATAAATTTTTCATTTCACATGCTGAATACTATCATTTAGTAAAAAAAAAAAGTATTTAAAAAAAAAAAAAAAAAGAAAGGTCCGACCGAGATTCGATCCCGGGACCTCTCACATTTGAAGCGATAGACATAACCACTAGACCACGTAGTCTCTTTACTCGAGGTGAAGTATATGTAGAACTGAAGTCACATACATGTATATATTCATGTTTTCATTTTCGGTATTCTCAAAATTTTACACAATCCATGGTGTTTGATTTATTTAGCCTTTATTAAACAGTTATAATAGATGTAATAAGAACATAAATCCGCCGAGAACCTGTTTTATACGCAATAACTCTCCTCATGCCCCTGCGCTAAAAATAGCGACATGTAATACTATAAATACTAATAAAACAAACGGGGCGGGGCACTTTGAGAGGGGGAGAGAGACGTCCTAGGGAGTTTTGGTATAAAATTACATTGCATAAGCTCAAAATCCTCTTGAAATATCGCCCGGAAATGATAGTGTTACACACAGACAGAATGTATAAATTTACGACCTTGAACTTTGACCTTTTGACCTAAAAATCAATAGGGGTCTTCTTTAGGCCACAGGGAGTTGTTTTGTAAAATTTCATTGCGATAGCTCAAATAGTTCTAAAGATATCGTGTGGAAACGAAAGTGTATTAACAGACAGAATTTGCTTATTTATGACCTTGACCATTGACCTTTTGACCTCAAAATCAATAGGGGTCTTCTTTAGTCCATAGGGAGTTGCTATGCTAAATTTCATTGCAAAAGCTCAAAGGGTTCTCGAGATATCGTCTGGAAACGAAAGCGTTACAGACAAAAACATCATCAAGGGAAAAGCATTAGTACATTTACTTTGAATTACAACAAGTAACGACATGGTTGCCCAAAGGAGCGATAAACAAAGGTAGAAACATGGTTGCGTACAAATGACGTTTAACTGATATGTACAAAACTGGTCCTTTTTCTAACATCGGAAATAGATATGGCCGATCATAATATTAATTATACGAGGGCAGTGCAATGAATAATGTCATTAGCTCGATGACATACAACATAGAAATCAAATGACATAAAACTTGACTTTTTTTCATTATTGAGTCTTTAATGAATTGATTACAGCTTCTGTGACCTATTTTCATCACATAGTTCCATTGTGAGAAGCTGGAAAAGAAGACTGAATTAAAAGTGAATGGTGAAGAATCAGTAAACTGGAGTAAAATTAAACGCTTAATAATAATAGACAGAACTTGACTTTCTGCAGTAGAATTTCTATCCCGAGCAAGTAAAAATTTCACAAAGAATCTGGGTGGATTAGGCGAGTCATATGCCCACATATGAACACTCGCGACAAGTTACTGGGTGCTTCAACACCGCCGCTATGACCACTGAGCCACGAAGTCGCATATACATTACCCTTTAAATAACAAACAGTTATATATGTATAGCAAGAACACAATTGGACTTTTTGAGAATATGTTCCGAAATTTAAGTCGGAAAACTAACTTTTTATATAGAGTGGGTCTTCATACCATTTTTTTTTAAAATTGTGAGAGATACTTCCTTCCGTACCCTTTTAATATTTGTTTACAAAAAAACTGTACGAAGACCCGGTCTATATAAAAAACACAGTTTTAACATTCAATTTCTATCATTTTTAGCTTACCTGAGCCGAAGGCTCAAGTGAGCTTTTCTGATCACATTTTGTCCATCCTCCGTCCGTCCGTCCGTCTAGCTGTCTGTCCGTCTGTAAACTTTTCACATTTTCGATTTCTTCTCCAGAACCGGTGGGTCAATTTTGACCAAACTTAGTACGTTGCATCCTTGGGTAAAGGGTAATTTAAATTGTTAAAATAAAGGGCCAAGTCTCCTCACAAGGGGAGATAATCAAGAAAAGACAAAAACAGGGTGGGGTCATTAAAAAATCTTCTTCTCAAGAACCACTGGACCAGAAAAGCTGAAACTTATGTGGAAGCATCCTGGGGTAGTGTAGATTCTAAATTGTTCAAATCATGACCCCTGGGGGAAGGGCGGGGCCACAATGGGGAATCAAATTTATACATAGAAATATATAGGAAAAATCTTTGAAAATCTTCTCAAGAACCAATAGGCCAGAAAAGCTGACACTTATGTGGAAGCATCCTGGGGTAGTGTAGATTCTAAATTGTTCAAATCATGACCCCCGGGGGAAGGGCGGGCCCACAATGGGGAATCAAAGTTTAACATAGAAATATATAGGAAAAATCTTCTTCTCAAGAACCACTGGTCCAGAAAAGCTGAAACTTATGTGCACATGGAAGGATCCTGGGGTAGTGTAGATTTCAAAATATCTAAATTATGATCAGTGGGGGTAGGGTGGGGATGCATTATGTATTACAAGGGGGAAATCTGGTAAAGAACAGAAATCTTCGCTATGTTGCCATACAGGGGCATAGCTGTTTCACAAACACATCTTTTTAAGTTTTTATATATAAAAGGAGTTGCGGATAGAGATGGATACCCCAAAGCGTAACAGACGGACATCCCGATCACTATTATACCCTCACTTTTCAAGCGGAGGATATAATAATATATATTACTGCTGACTTTTTCTGTAAGTACGATTATTTCCACCATCGAAAAACAATGTTTACCAAACCCTTTAAATCTTTACACCTTTCGATTCTGAATCATCGTATTGGCCTTAAAATATAGCCATAATCGTATAATGTTATGAGATCAACATATCAACAATTTAATCCAAATAAGCTTAGGTGAGCATTTTGGCCAATATGCTTCCTTATCTTTTTTTTTTTTTTTTTTTTTTGCACCCTAAAAATTTCAGCTTTAATCCACAGGGAGTCATTTTTCTACGGGGGTCAATTTTCTTAACGTGGGTTCTGCAAATTTTTAGGGTGGTGACACTTTTTCTACGGGCAAAAGGGTCATTTTTCTACGTCGAATATTGACCGGGGCTCATTTTTCGCTGTCGAAAAATGACCCCCGGTCATTATTCGATGGGGGTCATTATTCGTCCTTACAGCCCGCACCAAATTTAAAAAAGGAATCTTTTGCCCTATCCGTGAGTTGTATGATTTAGACGATCTATGCACTACATGTATTACCCTTCACGGTAGCTCAGCCGGTAGAGAGCTCGCTCCGTGATCGGGAGGTCGTGAGTTCGTATCTTGGCCACGGCTGACCTAAGTCGATAACAAATGGGTAGCAACTTTTTCTTCACCATGCGCTCAGCACTTTGAAGTGAAAGTTGCGGGTCCTTCGGATGAGACCTTAAAAACCGAGGCCCCGTGTCAGCGGCAGGCGTTGGCACGATAAAGATCCCTCACTGCTCAATGGCCCTGAGTGCCGAGTAAATGTCAAAATTTGAAGTCCCTTCACCGGCATACGTTGACGTCTCCATATGAGTGAAAAATGTTCGAGAGGGACGTTAAACAATACACAATCAATTAATCAATCACTACATGTATTTATTATCTATTCAATATATAATTTTTTTATTTTAGTTTTTATGTCTAAAGTTTGACATGTTGTTACTTTTCATACTTTTAATTTTCAAAATCATTTCCAGGTTTATAAAAAAGTTTTCAATGATCTGTAATACTGAAGAGCATTTTATTCCTGCTTAAATCACGTCATGTAAATAGATAAGTTCATTTACAATAAGTACATTATTTTGTGTCTACTTTCCTTTTGATGACACATTTCCTTTTGCAATAGGTATTGGGACTTGAAGTCGTATGATTTAAATACAAGGAAGTAATAATACGATAGGGCCTATTATATATTTGACATGTACATTAATATAGCTTTTCGCTGTGAAAGCTTTACCGGGAAAATAAAGAAGAAAACAGACGGGTGAAACAGAGTAAGTGCATGAGAGAGAGCATGTGGAACAGCATTGAGTAATTTAACAAAAGGCATGCTTGGTATAGGAACAGTATTGAATATTTAACTATATATATGAGGGTCATTCAAAAGGTTCGTAGACAATGTTCCTCATCGTCATATTATTATTATAAGATTATAGATCAACCCCTTTTCGTAAATAAAAAGATCTATTTTTTCGGAGTCTGAAGTTTCATTTCATTTAAATAAATAAACTCACATTAGCCATTTTTTAAAGTAACATCTTTTGTTACCACGGAGGACAGTTAAGGATGACGTTTACTCAGGTTTCAGAAGTCAGACAGGAAATTTTATAAAGTATAATATGTTAAATAAAAAATTGTACTAAATGGATGAAATAACCAAGTTTTAACTCAATATCAATTTAAACATTTAATATTTTTTTATTTTAAGGAAATATACAGGAACAAAAGTCAATGTATGGTAATGCAGAGAAAATTCGGACTAAATTTCTATTTTTTTATTTTTGTCAAAATTTTAAATTTTTTCAATATTAATAATAATGTGAAGGTGACATGTATTTCTAAACAGCATTTTGCAAAATTTTTATGTGTTAAAGCTAATAAATTATTTCAAATTCAATGCTATGAAATAAAGAAATTCAAAAATATGAACAAAAACCATTCCAGACACGATATCTCAATAATTTGAACATTAACCCCATATAATATTAATACCATGAGAACTAGCTAGGGCAAAAAAAAAATAATTTGATTCTATAAATAATTTGGAGTTCTTATCTTTCAGATTTTTGTAACATTCAATTAAAAATGGAAAAAAATATAAATATGACAGAGGAAATTCGGACTGAAATAATTATCAAGCTTATGGCCCAAAGTCTTATATTTTTATGAAGCATCCCTGTTCCATTGCTATACTATTTCATTATTGAAAGAGTTTTGTTGCTTGTAATATTTTGTGAGTGAAGAAAAAAATGGTCATAATGTGAAAAATTTGGGTATTTTCCGTGAAATACTCAAGGGCCACTAGCATGAAAAGTAGGTCATTGTCCTAATTATTTGAAATTGAAAATTACCACAAGAATCATAACTGTACAATGTGCAGTAAGGGATTTTTCGTTCTTATCAGTGGAATTTTTAATCATCTGAGTAAAGGTATACCTTACCCAACATTGTAACATCAAACACAACGTCGAGAAAATTTCTCAAAATTAAACACTCTGCTTTTTTAATTTCATGCACGGGTTGTAGCGTCTTCTCTATTCATTAAAACGTAACTATGGCACTGAACACGTAGTTTGCCAACAATTGTGCAAATAGCTTGAACTAGGTTGTCATTGTTTCCAATTTCTTTACCGCGTAACTCTATTAGTTCTGCAGCAGTGAAGCGCACATCACGTTTAATGACGTTTTAACTCCTTTGACAAGATTTGTAACAGTTTTTTTTAAATGTATAGCCTGTTTTTTGCAGAACATAACTCTTCCGATTTAAACTCGACACCACTCAAAATTTTATTATTCATTTTATACAAATACACGTCTTATTTTTCATGCATTTCCCTGTTCATACAGAATTTTTAAAGTTTGTTAAAGAAGTTTCCCGAATGCAAAGCAAAATTTTATTGCTACTCGCTGCTCCGTGACGTCCTCCAACGTCATGGTTTTTTGCCTTTTTTAATTCAAGCCCATATGTATTTAGAAACTGATATCTTTTCAACGGAGAGATATTTTACATCACCTCGTAACATTAAGTTTTACAGCAAGGCTTAATTTAAACATGTAAATTGTTACATTTTTTATTAAATATTTTTTATTTTTCTCATGTACCATGTATTTTAAATGGTTTTGATTGATAAATTGAACTTGAACTTGAACGGATGTACACTCGAAAGTTTACGTAATAAAACACTTAAAACTGAGTATTATTGTTTTCCTATTACGAGGGCCGTTCAAAAATTACGCGGACTGTGTTGTTATTTACTCTTACAGACGTCATATAGTTTCAAATTTCAAAGAAATATGTATCTTAAAGATTCCAATAAATTTTCGGCAAAATTTATGTATTTTTAAAAAAATTCTAAGAAAATTATCGCTATGTTGATATCGCTGATGAAGAGGTACGGAGCACGACAAAAACATTGGAAGCAAAAGCATGCGGAAATTTAACTCATTATTTTTCGATAATTTGCGATATTTTTCGACAATTTTCTCAAATATTTCTTTAAATTGTTCTATTATTATGTATTTAGATTTCTGACATGATATTTGAAGTACTAACAGAAATATAGTGACTTTTTTCCGATGCGATTCCCGTGAAAACGACTGTAAAAATGACGTCTTCTGAATTGACGGCGCACCACACATTTGTTAAATTGCGTGTGATGCTCGAGATATCGCCAACATAGATCCAAAATATCCATATTAAACATGTAGTAAACTAGGATATTTGAGACATTCGTCCACAAAAAGCAAAATGAAATTTTAGACCGTTAGATCTCTGTAAAGAGTCTATACGGGAGGGCGGAAAGATGATTATCGACGAAAACTTTATTCGGACTGTAAAGAACGTGATTGAGTCACCGATATCATACTATCTCAAAAATACCTGCATATTTTGGTTTTAAAACAAAAAAAAGAATACTCTTTACTTGTTTAATAGATTTTAAGCTTGACAAGAAATGGTGTTTGGATGTTGAGTAGATAAGGTAACTTAAACTGTGCAAGTACTCTAGGGAAAATGTTGAGAATATTAAAGCTAAATCGCACATTTTTTATAATGACTGTGACGTCGAAGATTTTGCTGCTCCGTGACTTAATGATATGTCCTGATAAATCACTCAAAATCGATACCAATTTATAATATTTTGATATGAAATTTTGAAGACCATATAAGTAAAGATTCTTTTATATTATGTGTGACATTTTGCCCGATTATGTCGTCAAATATTTTTTTCTGTGCAACAAGTCCGCGTAATTTTTGAACGGCCCTCGTACATAGAGAAACCTAAAAAGAAAGAATTAAAGTGACATGTCAGTAAAAATAATCATGACTGGAAAATAATACTCGTCAAAATTAACGAAGTATTTAAAAAACAATTACTCAAGAAAATGCCTTCAGAGCATTATCAGATCTAGAGTCAGCCTTGCTCTATAATCATAGGGTATAATTATACAGCTATTCTGTTAGAAAATAAGCAATTCAAGTTTAATTTTTTATATAAGGACAATAGATATAGAAACCGATATAAATCACATAAAATAAAGAAATTGAATTATTTTGATGAAATATTAATAAACTACATACATATATATTAAATATTTATGTTATTATTAGGTGTGAAAGTCTTCTTCCTTCAATAAATATTATTATAAATTGTTTCTATGAGTGTATTGTTCAGAAATGACCGTCGCATACATGTAAAAATTGTAGACCCTTGTTGATACTACTCAGAATCAATTTCAACTGCCTTTTATAGTTCCATTATTTATTGGCAATCTCATTTCTGAGAAGGGTCCGATCATAAAATTAATAAAACTTGCCCACCGGGACTGCTGGGACTGCTTTGTGGTATTGCTCTCTGGGACCGCCGTTGGACTGCTCTGGGACTGCCGTGGAACTGCATTTGCAGTCCCAGAAAGCAAACCCCGGGACTGCTCTGCGATTGCTTTGTGTCAGGTCGGGTCTTGTCGGAACTGTATATTATGTAATCTTATCATGTTGCTATTTCGTTGAATTTGCCAAAATGTATATTTTTTTCAAATTTCATAGAAAAAAAATTAATAAATCTTGAGTCCAGCGTTATGAAATTTTTTTATTTTCTGTTTTTAGACTCAAAACCATATCTAAAAATCACTTTGATGGAATTATTTTTTTTTCTATATGCAAATCAAATAAAAACATCCAGCGATGTACTTGCAAAGCTTTCAAGCTCCATGCCACATTAGGAAATATGTTCTAGCTATAAATACCAGCTAGTGTCTGTTCTAGTTCCCGACACCTCGCCAAAAACTAAGTTTAACAAGGATAGTGACAGTTTCTTTGCCAAGCGTTAAAACATTAAAAGTGAAAGTATCTGCAGCTGCTCAACGGCTGCAAGATCCGAGTACAGATTTAGGTTTACAGCCTTCCACCGGAAAATGGTAGCAAATGTCTCATTATGAGCCAAAACATTCGAAAGGGTCCTTAAATGCAAATTTGGCGTTGTGACGGTGAGGAACTCTCACTGCTGATTACAATACGTGCCTCTTAATCTACAAAGAATTTTTTACAGTAATGTTTAAGATGTAAATCTTTTAAATGGTGCGTTTATCAAAGTACATGTGGTATCATTCACATTCCATTGCTATTTTAGTAGTCTGATGATTAAAGAGTCTGTATGTAGGTGATATGTATGTGCTCTTAAATTTCAAACGAGATGTTAAGGTTTGTGGATGTAGCTATTGGATTTTAGTTCAATGTTTATAGGACTACATGTATTCATGGTATGCAAATTCCGCTCTTAATTTCAGAAGCATGAATAACAATTACATGCGTCAGAGGAGGCGGTCCTATAGTGACGAAAAACGGCCACGATCTGATCATCTGCCCCTCAGAAAGTTTCCTAGAAAACGTCCAGGTACTATGCAAATAAGCGTTCAGTTTTCATTAAATGTTGCAACTGTAACCTCTGCCATTAGCAAAATGTCTGAAGGGATACAAGACGAAGATGGTCTAATATGTCAGATACGGGACTGGGACGAGGTGCGAAGCACCGAGTCTCAGTCCCGTATCTAACATAATAGACCATCTGAGTTTTGTATCTTACTTAAAACATTTTTTCAATGCACTTTTGAATTGCCATTGTTATAATATGATACTTGTGACGGTAACCAAACCAGATGGATGAGGCGCTTAAGGGTTTCAGATATTTCTTTCAAAAGAATGAATATATTTTGATTTAAAAACCTTTATTGAACCCCAATCATATATTATTTATCATTGCGACACTCTACGGACACATTAAGAAGAGCTGAGCAACTTCATGATAATAAGCGATTCTGAGAGAATTGTGAAGGATCTTTTTTAACGTGTGAAGATTGTAAGTGACCATTAGGCAAATAAATTCCAGGAATTAAAGTGCCGTTTTTGTCCCTTGGATATCGAAAGCACGTACCACATCTTTACGTAAACGAATTTGGAAATATATTGTGAAATTAAATTTTCCGGGAAAAAAAATCGGAGTTGTACGGGATATATTAACAGATCGAGTGTAAACTTGTCCGATTGAATGTTCTACAATGGACCACTTTACGTGGATTTATTTGGATGTGTTTTCGGAAAAATCACAAGTTTAAGATAAGTGCTTCAATACCGGTTGTTTCACAATCAGTGACCTGTCTGGACGGAGTGTAAGTTCTACTGTATTTCTGAGATACTCCTATTTTGAAGTTTCGTTGCATAAATCATGTAAATTTGTTTCTTTAAAGTTTAAATTTGATTACGAGATGTTGATTGCTCTATTGCTTGAATTGGATTACGACATTGTTGATTTCTATATAAAATGCATAATGTTTGTTTATTTTCTGTCTTATTCATTCGCTGTGCAAAATCCTTTGTTTCACACAGTCCAGTATTATTTTGGAGTACAATAGATATAATATTGTACTCCTGACAATAATATTGGACTATAGCTAGTACCCTCTTTGAAATACGAGACTGTAGACACAAAAGAATGACGTCACAAAAATGTTTTAATTTAGAATATATTTCTCGCAGTCATGTCTAAGCTTTTAAATCACTATTTTATTATTGATAGGGCAGGTGACACTTTCAGTAACATTTGCCCGAATTTAACAACATTTTTGCAATTTGTTTCATTTCAAATAAGTGGAATAAAGTTAATATATCTGTATGAGTATGAAGTACGATTGAGATATACATTATAGATTACATTAATGTTAATTTTCTAATGTTACTTATATATTTTGTTAATGTGCAGAGTCACAAAGGGATGAACATTTTTTGAAATGTTCCGAAAAGCGCAGTTCCATTGAGTCTTTAAACGCTGTTTTTTCTGATGTTGATAGTGACGACTCGTTTCAGAAAGAGGTAAAATTATTTTACTCTGATTATTTTTTTTGATTCCACGAGGTTTAACAATATCAGTTTTTACTTCCACAAAATATTTGATTTTTTTATATTCCTAATTTATATTTGATTTATTTGCAATAAAAAAAACTGATTTTTTTAATTATTATTTTTGCATGAAATAATAAAAAGATGACATAAAAAAACAATCTAAAAGAATTATTGAAACAATACAAGTTAGTAGCCAGCAAACATAGACGTCTAAAAACATCAGAGATAGGATCAGGTCCATGGAGGAGGTAGCATGGCATCACAACTGACATACGCTCCTTGCTTGAGAAACGGAATAATCCGTAGACAGTTCAGTGTAAAAAAAAAAAGGCAAATGAATTGCATTCCTACTTATGTGTTAAGATCCTATTGTTTTTCCTTGTTCTGTAAATAGTAGTCCACAAGAACATGTAGTTTGAAGTAGTTCTAGCACGATTTATGTAGCTCAAGACTGTTAACGGATAAGGCAACTTAATAACGGAAATCTGGCTAGGTAGTGACAAGCACGTGGGAGTCAACATGGTAAAAGGAGAACCGGAACATCACTCGGCCTTTTCTGTCAAGTCCAGAAAAAACTCGACTTGACGGAAAAGGCCGAGTGATGTTCCGATTGGATAAAAGGAATAATTACAAAACGCTTCACTTTTCACCACTGATAATATCTGTAGAATTGTTCTTATATTTCTCTAGATGAAATGACATCCTAAAGAAAAAGGGGAATCCGGTAGGGGGCATGTAATGCTTATGCAATACTTCTGCTTCATATTTGGATATTTTACTTGAAAAAGACACTAATGGTAATCTAACAACCAAGCTATATTTTCTATCGTCAACTTCCTTTACTTATGCAGCAATATACCTTCATCACTTGCGTACGGAGTGAATATATCTCAGTTGATTCAATACGCAAGTGCATGCTATACGTCTGAACAATTTCTGAAACGAGGTAAATTATTGACAAGCAAGTTGATGAAACAAGAATATCAGCAGTCTTGTTTAAAGTCATCATTTCGCAAGTTCTATGATCGATACAATGACCTTGTCAGCAAAACAATTTATCATTGAGTCAAATTCTGACTTACGTTTTTCATACTTATTATTAGTCCATTATTTATACACTGAATTGACGACGGGTTTTTTCCGTTATTTCCCGATAACGACAAGGACAACATGGCGATGGTGAGCGGTCGACAGGGGATGCTCACTCCTCCATGGCACCTGATCCCAACTCTGATGTTTCGGAGGTCCGTGTTTGCTCTGCTCTTATTTTGTATATTGTTTAATGGACTTTGAGATTGAATACTGTTCGTTATCTCCATATCCTTCGCAAAATGTAATAACACGATTTTTAGATTATTACACTTTGCGTTATTACATTTTGCGTCGAGATCAACGCAAAATGTAATAATGAGCTTTTTCGTTGTTACATTTTACGTTATTTTATTTTTGCACTGAAGACAACGCAAAATGTAATAAAACTATATGTAATAAAACAAAATATAATTATTTTTTTGGATTGCGTTTAACAAAAAAAAAGATCATAAAATTAATTCAAAATATACATATAATCAACATGGGGACACTCTGTTTAAAATATTTAGAACTTAAACAATAAGTTAGGGCTTTTACGGACATAAATACATCAAATGTATCGTTTTTTCTGACTCTGACTTTAGCTATATTGAATACACTGTGCTAAATTATAAAGCATTAATTTAACTTCGATTGACATATTTTAATAGTCTTATTAAACTTCTAACCAATAGCACAAAATTTATTTAATTACCAAAGGTTGACCAGAGGTTCATTATTTGCTCTTGGTATGCATGTTTGGTATGTGTACATTGGTTAACAAAGGTGTGTTTGTGTGTGTCAAGCGATGAAAGGGCAGGGATAGAGTGGAGTGTTTACTAAGTATGTTTGTCATTGTATTACTATGGACATGCAAAAAAAATCCATTTTATTATTGTATGGAGAGAGGGGGGTGTTTTTGGATGTTTGCAATGCTGGTGACTTGCATGGAACAGTATGGTATCACAATTGTCAATAAACCTCTTCCGATATATATTTACACCTGTTAGTTCAAATAAATAGGTTTTCTTTTATATTCATTGCATTTGCTTATATAAAAAAAAGGACACTGGTCAATACCCCCAAAAATCCCACGTACACACGCGCGTTTCTAATTTGCAACACCTATTATTTGAATACATTTATTTAACTGATTTTAAATACATGTAGCTTATTAAATCAATAAAATGAAAAAATCATTTACTGTAAAAAATTGCATATATCAGTTTTTTTTCTTTTGTTTTATTTCGTCTTCATCGACCACTACTCTATTAAAAATTGTACTCAATCTGGCTGACGAAAGAGTGTGTTATTACATTTTGCGTTCTTGTTTTTGGCTGAATCTCGACGAAAAATGTAACAACGCAAAATGTAATAATCCAAAAATCGTGTTATTACATTTTGCGTTATTACATATTGCGTTGATCTCGTCGCAAAATGTAATAACGCGAAGTGTAATAATCCTCAAAAGTGTGTTGTCACATTTTGCGTTATTACATTCTGCGTTGATTTCGACGCTAAATGTAATAATGCAAAATGTAATAATCCATGTTTATTACATTTAGCGTTGTTATTACATTTTGCGTTGTAACAAGAGTCACCACAGATGTCCGCTATTCATGATTGCTTGCTGTCAATTACCGGTAAACTGGACAATATCAATGTTTTACAGCAATCAGTAAATAATATGAATCGGGATCTTTGAAATGAGGATGGGTTAGACGATCGTATCAAATACATCGGCCAACAACATGAAGATAATGTTGGAGAAATTGAGACGCTGAAATTAGAAAACAATTATTTGCGAAAAGAAGTCTAAGTTTTAAAGTCAATCGTCGTTAACTTAGATTGAAGGGTCAGTCAGCAAGAGAATGAAATAGTGGACCTCAGAGGGAGATCGATGAGGGACAGTATGCTCGTACATAACTTAGCTGACCAGGAAAATTTGAACACTAGAGTTAGCGAGTTGAACAAGGAGCATTTGAAATTGGATGTTGGTTTTATTAGGATACACCGGAATGGTCAGAAATCCCTGGCAACCCTAAACCAAGGACAATAATAGGGAAATTACAGAACTACAACGATAAAGAACTCATCCTCTAGGCTATTCGTTAAAAGAAGGAAATTGACACTGCTAACGACATGCCCTTCTATATATATCACTCTACAGACGCCTCTGCAAATAATTGAAAGTAAAAAGAAACTGCAGGAGATGAACAACAAATATCGAAAATATCAAAACAAAGATGGAAAGAAACAAGCTAGTCTTCCCAAATTGAAGCATGTACCGTGACAAGGTGCTACCACCAAGAGCTGAGGATATACACATGTACTCATGTTGGACAAAGATGAAATAAAAAAAAAAATGGAAGAATTTGATGTAAGCAACTGTGATAGCGTAACAGAAGATGGAACACCTTTACTTCACTAATCGCCGAAATTCACACAAATGCACAAGCTAGGAATGTATACAAAAATGTTCTTCGCAATCCGGACTATGCTGGTGCCAACAATAACATCCTAGTGTACAGATTCAAAGATGCCCAAGGACGAGTGCCTGACGGCTATTGCGACAATGGGGGATACGGGCCGGACGTCGACTGCTTAAGATACTTGTTGAGAGAGAAGTATCAAATGTAGTGGTTGTCATTTCGAGGAAGAATGGTAGACATTTGGGTCCCTGTCGGTTTGACATTATAAAGGATCACACTTGTTACTAAGAATTAAATAGACGAACATATACACGTATATTAAAATAAACACTGTCCCGTGTAACATGCAAAAGTAATTTTTGTTTAAATTTTCAATTCACAAGTACAATTACTGTTTTATTTTTAAGTTTGACTACTTTTCCACCACATTGTGTTCTTTCCGGGAAAATATTAGTTACACAGACTTACTCATGTCGCCCCGAACGAAGTCGGGGGCGACGTATTGCGACATATTGCGATTGTACGTATGTTTTTGATGTCCAGGCAGTTTCTTGGAGATGGCTGGGACAATCTTCCTGAAACTTACCTGAAAGGACAATCACTGGTTGTCGTTGTGTTGTGTGGTCATTCAGTTTCAAAATGGCTACCGTTGCCATGGAAACTTGCAAAAAGCGACGAATTTTGTCCGCGAGTATTCTCTCTGGTCCCTTGAAGAAGGATATGGAGATAACGATTAGTATTCAATCTCAAAGTCCATAAAACAATACAAAATAAGAGCAGAGCAAACACGGACCCCCGAAACATCAGAGGTGGGATCTAATGCCATGGAGGAGTGAAAATCCCCTGCCGACCGGTCACACCAGTCGTGTGCTCCTTGTCATGATCAGGAAATAACGAAAAAAACCTGTCGTCAAATCAGTGTATACCAGGATAAATAATGGACTAACAATTGGTATGAAAAACGTCAGTCAGCATTTGACTCAATGATAAATTGTATTTGCTGACAAGGTCATTGTATCGACGATAGAACGTACAAAATGAAACTTTTTTTTTTATTTTAGTGATTAGTCTCTGTAGTTGTGCGATTCGCATTTTAAATTTTCAAATAATCTATTATTGCCATGGAAACCAGGGGAAAGTAAAAATTCTTTAACTTGATTTTTAAATCAAAGTACTGAAAGGACTGATACGAAGTGATGGTTGTCCAAGCTTAGCTAATGGGTATTGTTTTCGAGATACAAAGAATGAAAGTCTTGTCCAGTTCGGGGCGACATACGCTATTGCTTGCAATAGCAGACTTTCTAGTTTGTATTTGCGATTGTACTTGTTTTGGGACTACTTATCATAATTTTTGTCATGGTAAATGCAGATTGACAATTTCCCTTCTCCATCAGTAAAATAAAAGATTAGATGTTTTTATACTTTAAGAAAAAAGAAATATAATTTTTATTTTCTTTTTATTTTCTG